AAGTTAAAAGTTTAGAAGAATTGTACAAATTACACAAGTTAATTACAAAAAAAGTAACTTAGTTGAAAATAAGTTATTTTTTCACATAAAATTAAAAATTATACCTTTTGATAAGCTTAATGAATAACATAATATAATATACATCTTATTATTTAAAACAAATATACGTTATTGTATTAATTTTTGAGTTTACTTTCATACCTAAATCAATTATGAAATCCTAGAAAATAGTTAAATTACTTTATTGCACTTTTTACCTATAAGTTTTCATCGACAGCTACTTATATAACTTTTTTTAATTTTACTTTTGATAATACTCATTAAATTGTAATAATCAAATTCCGGTTAAAAATATAGAATATTAGAAGTATTCGGTGCTCGTAATACTTACAGCACAAAGAAATTAATACGAAAAGAATATTATGAAGTATAACTTTTGACGACACACAATAGACTCGCTTGAATTATATACACCGCCACAATGGTTTTCAATATAAATCTTATTTCTATGAATAAAAATAATATGTATATCAATAAATTGTACTTAAAAATGAATAATGAGTTTAAAAACGTGTATAGAAAACTGGGTATATTATATACTTTATTTAGGTTTTCATAATATTGATAATTCCTATTTTTCTGTATAATCCTTAATATTTTTTGTACATTATTATTAATTATTATTTATAACAAATAATAACTTAATACTATACAGTCAGGCGAGTAGTCAGGGGGGATGTTACAGGTGTAGTAACACCTCCCCCCTCCTAATCACGTTAACAGTATACTGAAGTCTAATAAAGGTAAAAATTGATCATAAACCGTGATGAAAATATATTTATCATAACGAAATATATACTTAACAATAATGTAAAGCTAGAATCCGGCTTCTCATTACAACGTTTTATGTAATAAACTAAAGCCGTGGTTTTATGTTGTATCATGCGCGATTTAAAATAGGTACATACAACAAAAATCTACATTTGAAATTTTAATAAAATATTTAAATACTTTCTCTTACAATAGTACATTAACACATGAATAGATATTCATGTGTAATGTACTAATGTGTTTGTATTCTTGTACAATAAAGTATACGTAAAGTATTTATTTTGTTGTGTATAATTTTTAATAACACTCCCCTTTTGAAATAGCTAGCTACGCGACTGTATACAGTATATATTTATACATAAGTAGATTTATATACAAATATAAATTCGTATTTTGTAAGTTGTATAAGCCATTAGATAGGTACTTGTATTTAAATAGATTGATACTTATTGAAATCCAAGAACCGTACAAAATAGTTCGATGGTCTATTATTATTAATTTAAAATATCCACATAATAGTCAGCCATTATAAATAATATTTAATATTTTTGATAATTTTTCTTACACGAAATGTTATTTAAAACCTATGGGTTTTATAAGACGATAAATAGTAACTAAACGGTATTAAAAAAAAAAAAAAAAAAAAAAATAGTCATTAAGTTAGAAATTATTTATATACAATATATAATATTTAATTTTTACTGAAAATTGGTTTTCTGTCTAGAAATAATCAACTGTAAATGTAAATGTATCTTTATTTGAATTTTTAATGTAATAATTTTTAAATTTTACATAACACCTATCGAGTGCAATTTGATTTCAAATCAAAAAAAAATTAAAATAAAATAATATATTTAAAAATTTAATTTTTACAATTTATTTATTTAAAATATAAAATAAATAAAGATTAAAAATAAAATAGTATATGTATGTGTAGAAATAAGATAACCAATCAAAAAAAAAATAAATAAATAAAAATAATTAATTAAAAATAATACAAATGCTAAGAAACATTATAAAAATATAAGTAAATAAATTAACTAATTTTCTTATTTTTATAATTATAGTTTTATCCTTAAAAACTAGACGGGATAAAACAAAAAATTCAAGATTAACATAGATTTTATTGGCAATTAATAGAGCTCCGGACAAAAATGAGTTTATGCCACTATCCAATTAAAATTTAGGTATGTAGAAACTAATCCGAATTTGTTGTGTTCCTATTAGGTATTCTTAAACCAATTAATCTTAAAATATCTGAGCAGCCTATGAAGGTATTTAAAATAACATAAACAAACATTAAATCGATTAAATCATGTCTAATGTATAGAAAATTAATACACGAGAATCTTGAACTGATGTAAAATATCTCTAGAGATTGGACAGTGATTAATATCAGCATTTTTTTTTTCAGAAATATAAATTGAACACAGTCAGTTTCCCTTTCATAAATAGAAAAATTATTAGATTACATTAATGTGTCATAATCAAGATTAAATCTTACCAGAAAAAAGTATTAGTTTTTTTAAATACTATAGTATTTCTGTTTATATAAGCTAATATTCTATAGGAATTATTAATAAATATTTTATGATTAAATTTAACTAAAAAATCAGATTTGAAATAAATAATCAAATCTTATATTGAATAACATATTTCGAGAGGATGATCATTAATTATATAATTGTGTAAAAAACGACTTTTACATCGCGAAAAACTTATAATTTTACATTTATTATAATTTAAACTTAGATAGTTTTTTTACTCTATAAAACCTGCTCATTAAATTAGATTACAAACTGTTTAAAGATTCTATGGATTTAATTTGATAGAAAAGTTTAAATTATCATCAAACATTAAAATATTTACATACCTAGATAAAATAAGAGGAAAATCATTAAGAAGTATTAAAAAAAAAAAAAAAAAATTGACCTAAATGTGATCCTTTTGGAACTCCAGAGGTAACTGAATATTCATTATAATAATGAAAAGATATGTTAATTATTTGAGTTATATCTATAAAATATGAATATAAACCATTTAAGAAAATTTCCTCCAAAACTAAAATTTTACTTTTAACTTTAACTTTTACTTTTAAATTTTTACTTTTAAATTTAACTTAATAAACAATAAAGAATGATTTACTTTATCAAAAGCTTTAAGAAAATCCATATAAATTGCATCAATCAAATGCCTTTATCTAGATTATTAATAAGAAGATTCTGATACACAAACTAATATTCTTAGATAATAGATTATATATTTTTTTTTAGAAATAATAACTTTAAAAACTCTAGGTATAATAGGTAATTTAAAAATTGGCCTCTAATTTTTGATATTTTTTATGTCACTTTATTTTTGAATAGTAGAAATATAGGATTGCTTCCAGAAGTAGAGTAAATAAATACTGTAAAGGCTTAGTAATAATAAAATGACACATTTTTGAGGATATAGGAGAGGTAGCATTTGGACCTACACTCGATTTTTCACATACTGAAATCAATAATTTTATATTCAGATATATTATAATTGTTAAGAAAAATATTTTGAAAATTATGGTGACTCTTAACATAGGGTATTAAAAGTTGAATATCACCAATTCATTGAATTGCAATTTATCTTTATATTATTTTTATTTATACATAGGTAGTATATAACATTTATAATTTTACTTTTTGAATTTTAATTTAAAAAGTATAGATGGATTTTCGTTGTTCGAATCTATTAAAAATGAATCCCATATACAACATATATTTTTAATTTTTTTTTTTTTTCGTACAATGAAGGTGCTAGTGTATCTCACAATGTCTATAACAAATACTAATAATTCAGGAATACGGTAATTGTAACTGTAGTCATATTCATTTAATATACCATTATTTTTGTCAATAAAATGTACAAATTTTGTATTATTGTACCATAAATAGCATCTGTACCTTTTTTTTTTTGGTTTGCACAATTTCCATATTCAGAACCACTTATTATTTACTATTATAGGTACCTACTTATCATATTCTTAATGTATCTAGGTGTGGCAATAGTTTGTTAAAAGTTTTAAAAAGAATAGGCTTTTGCTGAATAACATTGTAATGTAAGTGCAAAGACCTAATTTCAAGAGTAAGTTTTACATTTTTTGATTTAAAACTTCTATTTATGGTTTCTTTAATGGGTTCAGAAGTCTCATTCTGAAATAAAATATGCATAAGTTGTAGTTTTGTTTTAAACTTTGTATTCACAATATTATACCATTTTTACACAAATTGAATATATATTATAAACAAACAAAAAAATTTCTATAGTACCATATTTAAATACTTGGCATTAATTTATTATTAAACCACTTTTACACAAATTAAACATAAGTATGTCATAAAAAAAAAAAAAATTTTAAAAAAATGCCCAAACACCATAATTAACTAAGTACATAATATAAAAACACTTGAAAAATAATATAGGTAACCAATTATACCAATAATTGTATAATGACTATTATTATTAAGTTACAATGTATATATCATAAATAATAATACATTAATGTTAAAACATTTCAACAGAAAAATATATAATTTTGTCTAATATAATTAATTTTTTAAATAGGTTAGGTAATTCGGACAAACTTAGCTACTTTAAAAAAATAAACTACAAAAAATTATATTCTCAAAATTAGATTTTACTTCAAATTGTAAAAGTACATAATGAAAATATATTTTATTATAATTATTTAATTACATAAACAAAAAGGGACTTATAATAAATAGTTACTTATTACAAATTATTTGTTTACGTATTTTTAATAGATACCCTGCATCGTATGAAATATTTATATGTGTATACATAAAAATATAAAATCATCTTAAATTCTTAAATTAATCTAATTCTTATCTTAAATTATCTTAAAATATAATACCAATATTTCATTATGGGCTTTTTCAAATGTCTCAAAAGAACATTCAAAGAAGAAATTTTATTTTTGAACACTCCTTACTGTTTAATTTATAACTATAGTTTCTCTTCTTTAGATAATAATTTATCAATTGGCCTTTATGTATCGCTTTTTAGCACTTTTTGGAGTAGCTTGGTCTGGTGTTTTGATATCTCATATAAAAGGTTTTATTTTGTTTTTTCGCTTAGGTGTATCAAAGATTATATTAAAATATAAATATATTTAATTAAGAACAAAAATATACATTATTCTTATCATTACTTTGAGTATCATATTTTTTAAATTAAATATGTTGCAATATTTGATTCCACAGACATATTGTATTTTCAATAGTCTGATTAGGACTATATATATGATCAGGACTTGGTATAGGTATAGGATTATCAATACGTTCAGGTCTACGAATAAGTTCAGGTCTATGTATACGTTCAGGTCTATGTATACGTTCAGGTCTATGTATACACTCAGGTCTATGTATACGTTCAGGTCTACGAATAAGTTCAGGTCTATATATACGTTCAGGTCTATGTATACGTTCAGGTCTATGTATACATTCAGGTCTATGTATACGTTCAGGTCTGTGTATACGTTCAGATCTACGAATACGTTCAGGTCTATGTATACGTTCAGGTCTATGAATACATTCAGGTCTATGTATACGTTCAGGTCTATGTATACGTTCAGGACGACGTGTACGTTCAGGACGACCTATAGGTTCAGGACGACGTGTACGGTCAGGACGACGTATAAGTTCAGGACGAACTATATGTTCAGAACGACGTGTACGTTCAGGACGACCTATAGGTTCAGGACGACGTGTACGGTCAGGACGACATATAAGTTCAGGACGAACTATAGGTTCAGGACGACGTGTACGGTCAGGACGACCTATAGGTTCAAGACGACGTGTACGGTCAAGACGACGTATAAGTTCAGGATGACGTGTACTTTTTGGCCTTCCTAAAATCAAAAAAATATACTTATTTTTATGTGATTAATTAAAATAATGACAGTAAATCTATTAAAATGCAGTAATAAATTATGCAAAATTTATTTTAAAATAAAATTACTTTGGATTACTTCATCAGGATTCATCATAGATATATCCATTAAAGTATGGGGCAGAGTTGTATTTAAATTTGAGCATATTTCAGGTGTTGAAGGATTTTCTGGTTCAAAATGTAAATATATAGGACTACGCATGCGTTTAGGACTTCCTAAAATTAAAAAAAAAAATATTCATTTTTATGTTATTAATTTAAATGATAATAAATCTATTAAAATGTAATAATAGATTGTGCAACATTTATTTTAAAATAAAATTACTTTGGATTACTTCATCAGAACTTATCACAGATATATCCATTGAAGTATTGGGCAGCGTTGTATTTGAATTTGAGCATATTCCAGATATTGAAGGATTTCCTGGTACAAAATACTCCCTAGATAAATTATTAAGTTGAAAAATACAATTATTAGTATTTTGTAGAAAATATGTGAATAACTGCTTTAAATACTCAACAGTTTATTAGTATGTAGTGTAGGAATTGCTCCATGTATAAGGCATTTTTTGTATTGATCAGTGAAACAGCGTTTTTCAAAATGAAATGAACAGACCTTTTGACTCGGTAAAACATCTGATTCATTGAATCCAAAGGCTAACAACCATTTTGACCTTGTAAGTGGATCTTTGGGGAATCTAAATAATTTTAAAAAAATAAATATTTATAACAATATCAATAACAAAATATTTTAATATAAAATGAATAATAAAGTAATAATAAAATAAAAAATAAAGTAATAATACATAAAAAATTAAACTTAAAAATATATATTGCCTTAAAAATTAGTTTAAAATGTGAAAATATATTAAGTATGTTAAACTAATAACTATTTTAATGTTTATTGTTTTATAACATTAATATTAACATTGTTGACCAAAAACATTTTTTATATTCTTCTCTGAATATAATTTGATTTGTATAATATTAAATGTACATATTAATTTTGTTCTTATTGAATATTCATATTTAGCAACATTGTATGTATTTTTTTTAAGAAATAGTTAAAAGAAAACAAATATATGATTATAAGGAATATATTATTTTGCTGTTTTGTATGTATTATTCTTTGGTAGTTGTGTTAAATAAAAATCTTATTTACTAGAAATATTTGAATTAATTATTTTTTTTTTTTTTATATATCATTTTTCAATCCAGAGATTAGTTTTTAACAGATTTTCTTACAACAAACATCGTCTTCTTCATTTTTTCTTGCCATTCGCCATGTTTTTGAAATCTCTATAAGAAGTGATTCCTGCATCCTATGTAATGTACTACGTATCATTATATTTCAGAAATATAGACGAAAATATATATATATATCATATAAATATAATATATACAGAATCTGTATGCGTATTTGATAGTTACTTTGTGTTTGTAATACTTAAAAGTGAACATGAACCAATTGTGAAAAAGCCACGTAAAAATATAAATATCAATGAACGATTTAAAACATAATGTAAGCAGAACACACAAACTCCCGTATACACGCAAATTGCGAAATCAAGGGCTTATATTTGTTAGGTTACTTTGTCTATGTTGATGTTAAATTAAAAGTGTTAATAAATATTAGTTATACCACAAAAAGTATTCTTAATAGTCTATTAACCTATTATAAAATACCTTTACATATTAACATTGTGTAATCGTGTCGAACTCACTACTCACACAAACCTACATTAATTATTTACAATTTAAAAATTCTATACTAAAGTAGGACTTTTCTGAATATAAATAATTTGAGAAATGCCCGTGAACGTTATGTATTGTTAACGATTCCACTAAAAATAATAGTGTAAATTATTTTTGGTTATGAATTTATATACTTACACGTGTAAAGATAATCCGGGATTTAACTCGACCGATCTCGAACAAATTATGCACACATTGTAATCAGCCTTTTCACTCATGGTTATAAATAAATAATATTAAATATAAAAATAACTAATGAGTAATAATTAATTAATAAAAAGTAGTCAAAATCGACACGATTTATAGAAAATATCAACGATCAAATAAAATATCAAAATTCAACACACTGATTACTCGTCCGACAAATAACTTGACGCATGCGCACATCGTGCACCCCATGAAAAGATTCATCCCTTATATTGATACCTACCCCGGTACGCGATCTAACGTATTACTACTTGTTGCATTGTCATAGCAATGATAAGCCGATATCTTTTAACAGCTCTTATAAGCTGGGTTTACATTTATTTAACGACGAAACGTCACGGTTCAGCGCCTTCACGACTCACCATGATTTCTTGAAAAATATTCGGGAATTGAAGGGTCTGGCGCAAAAACCGGCTGTTTCCACTTTTATTCGAAATGCATGGTTTTGCATTTTCAAGAATAATTTTGTCGATATTTAGGTGCAATAACCAGGTATATTCGGTTATTAGATTAGTTAATAGCATAAATACGGAGATGCCTGGTTACAGTGTTCGGTGCAAAAAACGGATAATATAATATAATATAAGGATAATTTCCGGAGATATCCACTTACTGCACCGAGAAGTTGACAAAAATGTTCATGCCGCATGGTATGATAAGTGATAGCAAAATATTTTATCAGATGTGACGTATCTGTCTTAATATTCATTTACTTTAGGTTAATTCATTATAATAATCTCGTAGACTGCGATAACGTTTCTTTTTCCGATTTGGACGATTCTTTCGTCGATCACGATTTTAATCTAAACTAGACAGTGATTTTGAAACAGTTAATCAATTGATTTACAAGGTGTGTTTTTTGTGTTTGTTAACACATTTTTAGCAATAAAAATGCTTCAATTTTCAATATAAGTATCTTTTCTGATATAAATGTGAATCTAGTTTGGAGTTTGAAGTGGTCAAAAATTAAAATTTCCAATACGTTTGTAAATATTAGAGAAAAACAAAAAAAAAAAAATTAAAGAAAAACGTGAGTTTTGGTGCTACAACCAGGCATCTCCATAATTTTTAGTTAATTTATTATTATAAATCAATAAGTTATTTTTTCCTTATATTATGTTTTAAAATATAGTTTATAATACATAATTTTTATGCTGCACAGTTTTGTATTATTTGTAATTATATTTCACCTCAAATTATTGTTAAGTCAAAATATGGAAAAAAAAATATTTTGGTACAATAACCAGGTATCTCCATATTTTTTTATTTTTATGAATTAAATTATGTAATTCAAATAATTTAAAATGTAAATATGTATACTTGGATAGATAGCTCTTAATTTGGAGAATTCAAATATATTTTTACAGTATTATACACTCATTAGAAATAAAACAATTTGGTTATCTGTTTGTCCTGAACTATTTCAAAAAGTGGAGATAGCCAGTTCTTGCACCGGACCCTTCAATTGTGATCGTTTGAACCTTATGGCATTGATTATAAATACTAAATACTAGTAAACTAGTATTTATAATCAATGCATGTGGTTATCTATCATTTTTGTACTTGACGTCTTACCTATACCGCTTATACTGTAGTGTCTAGTTCAATCCTATTTGGAGCACATATTCACCATATGTTGAAATTTAATTTTATTATATTATCATTATTGTTTAGTATCATAATATAATTTAAATAAAGTATAAGTATTTGAAAATTAAAATTCTTAAACATGTAACAAGAACTATGCAAGACACCCATCCTTCTCATGCCGTTGTAGTTAGTAGAAATCAATAATCATCAATATTATGAAGGTTGTATATATATCTATGGTAATTAATAGCTATTAAATATATGGTGATTCATACGCTATTGTATGTATGCAGATTATTTAATCAAACAGTTTGTTGCATTGCTATAAATGCCCATAACTATAGTTTGATAGCTTATTAATGCATTTATTCAAGGTTGCATGTGTAAATACTGCCATATATTTATCTGAAATAAAATATGTAACACATAATTACTCTAACACATCAACAACATGCATTAACATTCGGCCTAATTTACCTACTGTTCTACCAATTAATCAATTGTTAAATAATAGTAAGCATTTGTTGAAAATTTTGATGTATCTACCTAATTCAAAATTAAAATGAGTAATTTTTTAGTTATTAACATTTTTTTTAGATCTAGTATTTAGCTGGAAAATGTTTAATAAATAATCATTTGTTTGTAGATTTTGTACAAAAATCTTATATGAGTGAGTTTTTTATTGATATAGATCTTATAAGCGATAAAACCACTGAATTCGATAAAGTCACTGGTGAAACTTAACAACTTATTCTTGAAGTGGAAAAAAGAAGAGAATTATGAGATCATCGACTGTGAAAAGGTATCCCAATGTTATATATAGGCTATAAGAAGAAATTGTGAAGGTGTTGAATTGTAAGTAGTTCTTGAATATTACATTTGATAATTTGTCATTTATTTTTATCAAAAGTACATTCTCAGTTAAAGATTTGGAAAAGAAAGTTTGTATACTTATAAGATCAGTATAAGAGAATAAAATCAGAAGAAAATAACAAAGCAAGTGATTCAAAAGGAGGAAACCTCGAAAACCGTGGAAACATTTTAATAATTTAATGTTTTTGGATGATGTTATTTTGATAAAAAAAATAAGTAGGTGACTTTGGAATAATCTATACACTTATTTTGTATGAATAAATTTGTATTTTATTTATTTTTCTTTAAATATATTTTTACTAACAGGCCTGTATCAAGAATAAATCAGAAGGCATACTATGATGGATGTACTGACTAAAAATGTTGTAACACTTGGAAATGAAAATATTAAATTAAGTATGAATAAAAAATTAGAATTTATAAATAGGTACTTGTAAAAAAAAAAAAAAATGACTATTGAGCAGAGTTCAGTATAGAATTTATCTTTTATAGTTCCATCTCGTGTTTAAATATTGATAAACTATTATTTGACAAGTTAAATTATTAAAAGTTATAAAAATAGTATTTATTGGCTAAACTGCAAATTATAAAAGTGTTATTACAAATTTACCATACATTTTTTGTTATAAAAACATATAATAATGCATTTTTATATTTAAATATGTACACATGAATATATAATGAATACAGAATACAGATTTAGTTAAATGATACATAATATTTTTGTTCTTTGTTTTTAATGGTAAAAGTTAAGTGTTTTTAATAATGTTTTAATGTTAATAATGTGTTAATGTTTTTTTAAATTAACAAATGTAACTTGTTATTTATTTCAATAATTTTAAGTATAAATATATGATGCATATTTGAGCATAATTTATTATTATATGCTCAATTCTATGAGGGAAATACTCAACTTTTTTAACTTGTACGAAAAACGATTTTGCTCAATTTACATAAAATAATATGCACTAATAACGTCAAAAATCAACTATATGTCAATACACTCAAAACATGTTCTGTTAAACTACATTTTTATTACCATTGTTATGAAACGGATGTGTATCTAACTTAGCATGTTTTCGGACGTAGCAAAAAAATGAAATTATAAGTCCTGGTTATAACACTTCATAATTAGCGAATTTCCATCGTCTAGCAAAGCGATTTCCAGTGTGTTCCAGTGTGTTCCGCGGAATCTAAGGGTAATCTTAATGGTTCCACAACATGTAATTGATTGCTGAGAATACTAATTGTAATAAACAATAATCACGGACTATCTATAAAACATTTTTTGTAGTATTTGTTTTTCAATAAATAATTAAATAATCGAGTTTGAGTTGGAGACATTGGAGTTCTACGAAACACAAACTATTTCTTAAGGGTTCTGTGGCCGTAAATAATTGGGAATCATTGGTCTAGCGCACCGCCAAAAGTAATATGTACAGTAGTATACATTTATTACCACACATTTTATGAAAATCAGATTATATTTTCATATAATTTGTGATATTACTCTATGGCGTGCCGTTCAATTAAGTTGATTGATAATTCGATTAATCTAGTAGGCATCTGATTGATAATCAGATTAATCGAAATCAATCGGATTGATAATCTGACAATCGAGTTTGTCGAGGAACGCACGGAAACTATGAAACATGTTCTAATCGACCGCAGTTATTTGCGTCGAATCGTACTCGAGTCATCGCTGCGACGGTGACAAGAGGACAATACGGCTTGCCGTTATTTGAATCACGCGCGGTGATAAGCCGTAGAGAATAACTGTATGGATCTTTTATCGAGAAACTCGTTTCATAATATGATAGTGGTCACAATTCTATCGCTTGTGATAATAGTCTCGTGTTCTTATAAACATTTTTCGATAGCTTATCGTATTAGATCGTGTCGTAGAGCAATATATCTCCTAAGCTCGACAACAACTATCTGTTTACAAATAATTGTTATTACAATTTTTATTAATCATTTTACTTCTATTAATGGTTGTGCGAAAACTAAACAAAAATGAAGACCCGATTTTCTACTTTGGACATAATGTGTGCTGTCAAGGAAATTCAAAAGTAATTAAGTTGTTCAAATATTTTAAAATCTAATAAAATATAATGTTTGTGCTATAGCAACGATTTATATCATTGACGTAGCTGAAATGCATAAAATCAATGTACGATCTACTTTCATGTTATTATTATTACATATGGATATGCACTATGATATTTTAATTTGATATAGAATTGAGACATTGATGCGAAAAAAAATATCACTAATTTATGTGTAAATAGTTATAAACAAATATATATGTGCTATTTAGGTACTTTTACGATCTGTATATTTAAATAATATGTCAAATTAAATCATATTTTAATAAATAGGAGTATTTGTAGATAAAAAACAATTATATTTTTGTGTAACCATATTATTACTATTATAGAATACATACTATGTGAAATCTTTATATTTCTAGAAATAGTTACTTTTAAAATTGTATATTTAATATATGTTATTATAAGTTTGTACATATAATGTTTATTTATAATTATTTTAATAAAAATGAGTTAGTTTCTATAGAAAATTATTATATGTAACAGTAGGTATATCATTAGTTAGGTAATTTTTATTTTTCTTCCATTTAAAATGTAAATGGTTACTTTAAAAAAATAAGAACCCATAACGTAGTTAAATAATTTAACTAATTTTAACTATTACCTACAAAATATAATCTTGTATATAATAATAATGTAAATAATAATATTGTAGAAAATAAATATACCTATTCACATAAAATATACATATATTTTTAATTATTATTGATTAAAGGTTATTATATTTGTATTATTTATTATACATTCTTCCTAATAACTTTTATTTAAATTTCTCTGTTTTTGTGATTAGTTAAATTATTAAATATACTTCACTAAATATTATATTTGACTACAGTTTATTTTAAAATATATTATAGTACTTAATGGTTTTCTACCATTTCATTACAATGAGTATTATGTAATGAATTATAGAATTAATGAAACTAAATAATTAATTTCTTGTTGCGAGGAGAGATACTACTCTGGTTCATTTGATTTAAAATGTAAATAACTATGGCTTATTTATTATTTTCAGCAATACTAGTACTATACTTTATTTAATTTTTTAATTTGATAATTAATCAATCATTTTGATTATTACTTAATTTCAATATTTATATTTATATTTATATTTATATATTCTATAGTTATGTAAAACAGTAAAATATAAAATTTTTTTATTAATTTTTATTGCAAATGTTGACTAATTTTTATTTTTTGCCTATATCAAATATTTACCAAGTTTTTTTTAAGTATCTAATCATTTTTTAAGTGCATAAGTTTAGATATTTTGTGTATATACCTGTTAATGCAAATTTTTTTTTTAGCATTTTAAGGCATATTTTGCCAATTTTAAATGCATAAATGCATGTTTATTTAGGCATTTTTTAGGGCATGAACTTACGAACCCTAATTATAACTATATATTGCAGTGAAATGTAATAAAAGAAAATTATTTTATTATTTAACTTTTTAGTTCATTGAAAATTCGGTTAAAAAATGAATGTACGATATATATATATATATATATATATATATATATATATATATTTAGTTAGAAATATTATTTTATATGACATGATGAATTAAAAAATGTATTTAACATATTGTTATTTTGATTTAAAGTTTAACAGAGTTTTATCATAATTTAAATTATGAAACTACTAAAATATTTTTATGAATTTAGATATTCTATAAAATATAATATATATATTTGGTGTTTAAAAATAAACAATTGTATTAGGCATATTAGTGGATATTAAAAATAAAAATATCTAACTTATTTTATCAATTGTTATATTTTGATTTATTTTTCAGGTACAAAGGAATGCGATTACAAAGAGTTTATGACATTGATCATAAAACATATTTATTTAAATTTCAACGTAATGATGAGAAGTGTGTTTTGCTATTGGAATCAGGTGTTCGTTTACACGTAACAAATTATGAATGGACTAAAAATGATGCACCAAGTAGTTTTAGTATGAAGGTATATTATTTTGCTACATTTTATATTTTTTCTTTCTCAAATTTATAAATCTAAAGGTTCATGAAAACATCAAAATAGACTAGAAAAAATGAGAAATAAATTTATTCATAACAACATAAATGACATAATTTAATTTTTATTTTTATATCTACTTATAATTTAATGTAAGTGACCTAATTTAGGCTTAAAAGTCAAATTACTTATAAAAAAAAGTTTAAGTAAATTATATTGTATTTTCTTTATTATCAGAGTTATTATCACAAAATATTCTGTTAGTATTGTTAGCTGTGCATTATTTTATTTTCAACTTAGAGAATGCTAATTTTTTTTTTTCAAATTTGAGCATTAAAGGAGTAGTTATTTTATATATAAAGTATTTATACATAACGTGAAATATCACTTTTTCTCCAACTTTACAAGTAACAATTATGATATAATCAAACAATTTAGCTTTTTTAAATTTAAATTTATCATTTACTTAATTCATTTAGAGAAAATAATATTAATGATGCTGAATAAGTTGGTATATGCATACATACATTCAACAATTTATCAATACAGTTTTTATTGCCTTTTCTTAATTAATTATAATTTATTTTTTAAACCAGTTATAAATAGTATATATGGTATGAATAATATTTTTAACATCATTTTTTAATAAATTATTAAATTAACGACTGAACATTAGTACTAAAGTTCTGTAACTTTATAATATAATTTTAAAGTTTTTTTGAATATTTTCAACCCAAATTCCAGTTAAAATTATTTAAATACAAATTTTTATAATTTTGAAATAATTTGTCCTTAATTTTTTTATTTATACTGTTTAGTTAAGAAAACATTTGTCAAATAAAAGATTAGAAAATTTGTCTCAAATGGGGTTTGATCGAATTATTGATATGCAATTCGGTGTTGGAGAAGCAGCATACCATGTTATTTTAGAGTTGTATGATAAAGGCAATATTATTTTAGCAGATAAAGATTATGTGATGATAAATATTTTACGTCCACATACTGAAGATGAAAAACAGAAGTATAACATTTATTACATTTGTTTAAATTTAAATAATCTAATCTATTCATTTTTATTTTAGATTTTTTGTTAAAGAGGTGTATCCAAATGATAGACCAAAAATTCGACTCAGCCCACCAAGTGAAAATGAGTTAAGCCACATTTTTAAAACTGCTAAACCTTCCACAAACTTGAAAAAATTTATTTTTGCAAATTTTCCAATTTGTTTAGGTTTGTTTTTGTTAATATTAATTTTATTAATTATCTCATGCATTGTTTTTAGTATAATTTTGATTTAACTAGGTGTTAATAATTTTATTATTTTTAGATTATGGTAGCTGCTTATTGGAACATATGTTAGTCAGTGGAGGTCTTTCAGCAAGTACCAAAATTGGTACTGATTTTAATATTGATACTGATTTACATAAGTTAATAAATTGTTTTGTTATTGCTGAAAATTTCTTAGATGATTTAAAAAATTTAAAGGAAGTAAGTTATTATTTTAAATTTTAAATATAATTTTTATCACTTAACATTTTTAGGGATTTATAATTAAAAAAATCGATAAACAAGTATTACCTGATGGTACTATCAAAGAATTGTGTACAAATCAAGAATATCATCCATTTTTGTTTGCTCAACATCAGTCTTTACCCTTTGCAACATATGGAAGTTTTAATGAAGCAGTAGATGAATTTTATTCAAATTTAGAAAGTCAGAAATATGATGTTAAATGCATGCAACAAGTGAGTTTTGATATATGTAAGTATAGTTGGTACTATGTGGAAATTATTTTAAAGTAATAAACTTGATAATAATTTAAATGCAATATCAGCTACATAAGATGAAATATAATTGATGTATGTTATTCACATTATAAATTAAAGTTATTTTTAAATTTATTATTTTTTTTAAGTATTTTTAAGTACAATTATATCATGTTACTATTAGTTATGTTTTGTTTTATCAAATTTGAACATTCAGTATGCAAATACTATAATGCTTATATATTTATTTATACAACAATTTTTTTCTTTAAATTACCAAGTAGTTTTAGGATTCAAAAATTAAATTTGTGGTTACAATATTCATTATAATAATATTTTTTCTTAAGGAAAAAGGAGCAGTTAAAAAACTACAAAATATTACTAAAGACCATGAAGAACGCCTTAGGAAGCTTCAAGAAGCTCAAGATGAAGACAAAATTAAAGCTGAATTAATTACTAATAATTTAGATCTGGTTGACAATTCCATACAGTTTATTAGACAAGCAGTAGCTAAACAATTGCATTGGGATGAAATTTTGGATATGATAAGACAATTAAATTTTGAAGATGATGGTAATACTTATGCCATTGTAAAAAATTTGAAATTGAATGTGAATCACATTACTCTTGAACTATTGTAGGTCTTTCTTGTTAAATCGGTGTAACTTATTATATTTATTTTAATTTTAATGACTTTGTTTTTAAATTTTACAGTGATCCATATAATGAAGATCAAAAAAATAAAGATAGTGGTAAATTAATTGATATAGATTTAGGTCAATCTGCTTATGGAAATGCCAAAAAGTGAATATTTACCATCAATCATTATTTAATAGAATATATTTATTGAGTAATTAAATATTATAGATACTATGGATCCAAAAAACAATCTGCTATAAAAGAACAAAAGACTATTGAATCATCAAGTTCAGTTTTAAAAATGGCTGAAAAAAAAACCAAACAAACATTGAAAGATATGCAAGTTGTTGCATCTATAAATAAAGTCCGCAAAACATATTGGTTTGAAAAGTTTTATTGGTTTATATCGTCTGAAAATTTTTTGGGTAAAATCTTGTTTACATTTATTCTAGGGCCTCACTAATGCTTTGAACTTTTGATAACATTTTCAATAATTTAAATTATCTATTATAATCAGGTTTCTGTAAAATGACTTAGTTGTATTATTGTTTATCATTTAATTTATATTAAAACTATTTTATTTTATACATTAATATAACATTATTTGGAATATTTTTTTTTCATTTTCACCTATAATAATTATAAGTTATAACCAAATTATATATACATATTGTTTGAACTCCTAACCCTAGTTTTGAATTACCTAAAATTTCTCCCCTCCCTTAACACACGAAAAGCTGATATTTCAGTCAATGCCATCTGTACTCTAAGGGCACAAGAGGCATAAACCTGTGGTTTTCTCAATAATTTTTCAGATTCTAAGGTTAAAGTTAAATTTTTCAAACATTTAATCTATCTAAAATTGTAATCTCTTAATGTATATAATTATTATTTAAACTATCCATAAGGTCTATTTATATTTTATTGAAGTATTTCTTTTTATTCGTTAATATATTTCTTGCTTCTTCAATTTAGTCATTGCTGGACGTGATGCTCATCAAAATGAGGTCATTGTTAAAAGATATATGAAACCATCAGATGTGTATGTGCATGCTGGTTTTAGTGGTGCTACAACTGTTATAATAAAAAATCCAACAAAGCAGCCAGTTCCTCCAGCCACTCTCAATGAGGCAGCTGTTATGGCGATTTCATACAGGTAAATAATTTTGTTTTAAGGTTATGAAAAATATATGAAATTGAAATTAAAATTAAATATATATTAACATTTATATTATTTAAAATACATTTTTAGTTTAAATGATTTTATTAATATTCTTCTAAGAAAATTAGATTAAAACATAAACCATGCATTTTTTCACTTTTATTAAAAAATTTTTTATATTATATTTATTTTGCATAGGGTGAATAATATAAACTATTTATTTTTTATTTTTGAATCTTCTATATAAAATTATATATAAATATTTTTTTTCAAAATTTAAAATTTAAAATTTAATTTCAAGATTCTATTGTGATAATTATAAATTTTAATTAAAGATTTCAAGAATAGTTTTACAATTGTATTAGTGTTATGTTTAAAAAATTCAAAACAGTAATAAATTATAAAGTAAAGTAATAATATATTTTTAACTAACAAATTATATTAAATTATTTTAATTTTTAATTAATATAATTCAGATAAAATATTTAGTAGAAATGCATAAAATAAATATTATAGTATTCAAAATTCAATAAAATATAACTCAAAAATTTTTTGGTTATATTGTAAAAATATAAAACCAAATAATTTTCTTCTGGATGTTTTAGACGGTCCATGGGGAAGATGGCCATAGTAAATAATTTTGGTACATTTTTCTCCGAAGTTTATACTGAAAAACTTCAAACACTATAAAAATAAAATTACTTAAAATCCTCCAATTTTTCTTTATAATATTGTGTTATGTGCATACATATTATAATGTCATGGGCATACATTCTATCACATAATGTTCCAAATATATATAAATATTATATCGATTGCATTACAATAACACAATGATTCCACTATGACGGACATACGTATATGTAGAATCAAAACCACACCCGTGAATAAATTAAATTATTTAATTAGTTCACATGTTCATTATACGGGAAATTAAGATAGCTAATGAATAATCGAAACGGCAGTGACTACATCCTATATCTTTGCATCAGTAATTATGTGCCAGACAAGAGATATCACACACATACACACAGAATCAATGCGGAATTATCATATTTTATTATCATTTTCATATACACACACACACTTACATATATCGGATATAAAAGGGGGTCCCGAACAGTCTCTAATTCAGATGTGTTTTAGTCTTGTTAATGCACGCACCTTCACGCCAGTTTGTTTTAAAAATTAATTATTTGGACTTAATTTTACAAATTAAATAAATTGGACTAAGAAATATTTCAATAAAGTTAATATTTTAAAGTCTTGAGTTACTTATTTCAACATTATTATTATTCTACATTGATTACGAAGCTGAACAGTTATTCTGTACTATTTCTGTACTGTTATAATGTAGTTATCTCTTGTTGCACTGTCCAGTACCCATATACCAGCACGCAACATAAATTGGCGCAGTCGGTAGGATGTGGTCACTGCTGTTTCGATTATTCATTTGTTATTTTAATTACCCGTATAATGATCATGTGAACTTATTAAATAATTTAATTTATCCACGGGTGTAGTTTTGATTCTACATGTACAATATGCCCGCTATAGTAGAATCATTGTGTTATTGTAATGCAATCGATATAGTATTTATATATATATACCTGTAACATTATGTGATAGAATGTATGCCCGTGACAGTATAATATGTATGCATATAACAATTTATATAGATATTTCAGATTTATTTAATGAATTAGACAATTTAAAATTAAATCTCAGTTGTAGACCTGACAATATTCACCCAACATTTTTATATGACTGTCGCTTCTTATTATCATATCCTATTCTATTTTTATTCAAACTGTCATTCGATTCAGATATATTCTCATATTTTTCGAAAACTAAATTTGTTACTCATTTTTTACGATCCATAAAAAAGGAAACCCTGTTTTTATAAAAAAAAAATCGTCAAATAATATATCAAAAATCACTACACTGCCTAAAATATTTTCTAAGATTGTTAACTCTAAAATCACATAAATTCTAAATAAATTACTTACAGATAAACAACATTAATTTAGAAAAATTGTTTAACAATAACCAAATTAGTTAATTTTAAAAAAATTATTTTGATTCATTTGTTTTAAATTCACAAACTGATGTCATATACACAGACTTTTAAAAAGCACTTGACCTCGTAGATCACAACTTATTCATAAAAAGTTAGAAAATTATGGAATCTATAAAACTTTTTTATCATGACTATCTTCATTTCTCAAAAATAGAATACAAATAGTAAAATACGGCAAATCTACCTCTCATTTAATTGGCGTTAAATCGAGCATATCACAAGGTGACCATTTATTGCCAATTTTGTTTCTATTAACAATATTACTTCTATAATTAAATAATCTAATATATTATTATTTGCTGACGATACAAAAATGTTTAAAATAATAACTTCACTTAGTGATGTGTTACATTTACAGTCAAACTTATACAGTTTTCAAGATTGGTGCATTAATAATATAATGGAACTACATATTGATAAATGTGCAGTTATTTCTTTTACGTATAAAAATAATAATATCATTTTAATTATACTTTATTTCATTCTACATTAGTACGCAAATCTATTTTAAATGACTTACGTGTTTTATTTGATGGTTAACTAAACTTTAATTTTCATATTGATAAGTTAAGAAATTTTGCATTATCAAAATCAGGATTTTTAAAACGAAGTTGCTCAATGTTTCATAATCAACATGCTCTAAAAAATGTATATGTTTCACTTATACGATCCCAACTTGATTATGCTACTCTCATTTGGTCACCAGTTAATAATAATAAATGTCAAACATTAGAAGCAAATTCAAAATTCATTTTTAAGATTTATGTCTTTAAAATACTATATACAAATACCATATCATTCTTTGTATGATAGTTATTTGAATATTTTTATTTTAAAAAAATTGCAGAAACTATTTAAATCTCATGTTTCTATATAAGTTAATTAATAATAATAAAAGCACTTTCAATGTGTAGCTTAAATTAAAAATCTTATAAATTTATAAATTAATATATATAAATTATATAAGTAAATGAAATCTTATATATAAATTTGTTGTGTTCACTATTTAATCATATAATTTTTATATAAATTATTGTTAAATATTAAACTGCTAATTTTATTGTAAATTTATAATTTTTAAATGGAGTTCTTATTCATATAAATAAATAAGTAACAATTAATTTATGTAAATGGATATATGCAAGTAATACTTTATATTTTCAGTGTTTCTTGGACTATGAAAATTAACTTGCAAAACGCATTTTGGGTGAAACCTGAACAAGTAACTAAAACAGCACCCACTGGAGAATATTTAACTACCGGTAGTTTTATGATACGTGGTAAAAAAAATTATCTACCTGCAACTCATCTTATATTGGGCTTAAGTTTTCTGTTTAAATTAGAAGATAGTTCAATTCCAAGGTACTAATAAAAATTATGCTTAATTTTTATATAAAATAAATATTATTTCATATTTTACCATGTTACCTATTAATATTTAGGCATGAAAATGAACGTAAAGTAAAAGGTATTGAATTTGAAAATGTTATCAATCCTGAAGAAGAAAATGATGATTTTGAAAATATAGCTAGTGAAAATGAAAGTGATGAAGGTAAGTAAAGAAAAGAATATCACTATAAGATTTTTATATTCTAACATTATTACTTGTATTTTAATGTAGAACTAGAGAAAATAATTGAAGAGAAAAACACAGTAAAAAATTTAAGTAATGATTATGAAAACAATACAGATTTAAAAATTCAAGAGAGCAAAAATCCAGAAGCAGATATTAATCAAGAGTTGAATTCTAATATTCAACTTTCAAAAGAGTAATGAGACTTATTTATATTGTTTGATTGTACGAAAAAATCATTAAATTCTCATTTTTTCAATATGATTTTTTATAATTTTATTTTAATTGAATTATTTTTATTTTCTAGCAATTAAATATAAATTTTAACTTAATATTGATATTATATTTCATAAAGCATATGTTAAATTGCTGTTATGTACATTTATTAAGACTTTTTTTACATAATATGTATATATGATATTATATTATATCCTTGGTAATAGTATGTGATTCTCTCTTGATATCATTACCATACATTTTATCTTTTTTATCATATTTTTACAAACAAATATGTTTTTCTATTATTAAAATTAATTAAAATTATTATAATATTAAAAAAATAAATACAAAATCTTGGCACTTTTTAACTATTAATATTTGTTTATGCATCAGTTTTTTTACAGAATTTTTGTCATTTAAAAATAATATTTGTATATCCATACTTTTTAAAAATGTTTTTATAATTATTATTGTTTTTGGAATTTAAAGTTCACTTACATTTTGTATGAAATAAGGAAAATTACTCAAATATAATTTTAGAGTAACAAATTCAACAATATAATTTAATATTTTTTATTTTTATTTATAGTGTTAATATATCTTCTAACTGTCATGAAAAATGTGAATCTAATTCTAAAAATGAACCTGAATCTTCAGATAGTGATGATGATAATGATGAACAAAAGGAAAACAATGAATTGAATAAGACATACTTTTTATTTTTATTCTGAAAGATATTTAAATGTGAAAAAATAAATAAGGAATCTTGCCATATTTCATTATTAATATATTTTTTTAATTCATTAGTTTTATTACTAAATATTTTTTATTAATGAATAATATTGTAATAATAAATGTAGATATTCTCGGTACAATTAAGTTGAATTTACGAAAAAAATTTATTAAACATTATGCAAAATGTATTCATTTATATTGTTTATTAGTGTACATTTATTGTATTAAATCATAATTAATTTTTTAATATTTATAGATAAAAAAGCTGAAACAGTAAAACCACTAATTCTAAAACGTGGACAACGAGGAAAGTTAAAAAAAATCAAAGAAAAATATAAAAATCAAGATGAAGAAGATAAAGAAATGAGAATCAAATTATTACAAGTAAAAAAAATTTAAAACTATTTTCATAATAATTTATGTATAAAAAACAACAAAATAGAGATCATACTGTGCGAGTATAAAATGCTCAGTAGTTTTTTAAAATTATATATTTTTTCTAGTCATCAATGAATGAAAACAAGAAGCTGAAACGAGAAAAAAAGAAAGAGAAGAAAATTAAAAAAATTGACAGTAAAAATAAATCTGCTGGAAAGAAACAAATGTTGATTAAAGTTTTACCTATTGTTAACGAATTACCTAAGGAAACTATTCAGATTGGTGCACAAGGAGCCCAAGAAAAATTTGCTGAGAACAATGACAACTCTGACGACGAAGCAGATAAAACAACAGATCCATCTGAGACACAAATGTTAGATTCATTAACTGGTATACCATATGCTGAAGACGAACTATTATTTGCAGTTCCAGTAGTTGCACCTTATACAGCACTTACTAACTATAAGTAACTTTAGTTTAAAGCAAGTGTTCAAAATTCAAACTAAAACTATTTTTTTTTTTCTTATTAGGTACAAATTGAAATTAACACCAGGAAATACAAAACGAGGAAAAGCGTCAAAGACTTGTTTGAATCTATTTTTGAAAGACAAGACAGCAACGACTAGAGAAAAAAATTTAATGAAGAGTGTTAATCTGCAGGATATTGCTAGGAATATACCAAATGGAGTTAAATTATCAGCTCCATCTCTTAGTAAAGTACTTAATAGTAAATAGTCGAATAGATTATATTTTGACTTTTGTAAATATTAATAATTGGTTAGTAATTAATTAATAATAATAATGTAATGAAAACCGAAATAAATATTTATTACTATATTTAATAATTTGTTTGATTCTCAAATGTATAGTTTGTTCTTTTATATTAAATTTGTCATTGGATCAGAAATGTATTGAGTTTTCTATTAATTTACTTCTAAAAATAATCCATATTATATAAGTTACTTAAAAGTTGAGCTAGGATTAATATAATCCATAACATATTTTAATACACATATATATATTTTACCATTAAAATATGAAATAAAATGCTCTTAGAAAATCAACTCTAAATTTATGAGACATTAAGTTATTTTCATAAATTATTTTTCAATATAATTAGTTATTTACTATTTATGCAGTTTATGAATTCAGTAATTCATCCATTAATGTTTAATAATATGAAGACACATATTTTTAAATAATTCAATATTGGCAATCATTAATCTAAAATTATTTTATCATTTTTTTGTTTATATCAACAATTTACCAATTTTCTTTTTGTAGAGTTACTCTTAAAAAAAAAAAAAAAAAAAAAAAAACAATTAAAATCTGTGCAATTTAAATAAAGTAAAAAGTAGAACTATATTAATTAATTAAATACTGTCAGTTTCCTTTTTCTGGTATATCGTTCAAAAATAAATTTAAAATCACTTTCGATTTTATCTTATTTGCTATGCATATTTAAGTAAGACAATACTTAATATGGTCTAATATAAACATAATATAAAAAAAAAAATAATCAGTATAGCTCTTTTTTAATGATTAAATTTAAGTGATATTAGTAAGAATATTATTCTACCCATATAACCTAAAGGAATTAACAAATGATAGAGAAGAATAGAGGAGGCTGTATGGAGGTGTAAGAGCCTTAATGGCTCATAAAAGCTGATAGATGGATAGATAGTAAGAATATATACTGTACGGTTGCCAGATTAGGAGATTTTGGAACCTACATTCGCGTTTAAAAATTAGCACTAGTTATCAATCCAGCGATTTAAAATTGTTATTTAAAGTGTTTAGTCGATCAAAGAAAAGTTTAAATGTCGTATTTAATTATTTTAATTATTAATGTCTTTCAATGACGTAAATTGTGAACACCGTTTAATTTATAGCTGATATCTTGTGGGAAAAATATAATCACAATATTGTATTTTGATCGTGATTAGGAAAAATAATTGTTATTTCATAAAAATATAGCACTGCGATCACGGATAATAATAGACCTATAAACTAATAAACAGCGTTTTCCACACCGCACGGCTATACATTCATGGGGACAATATAGAGTGAGAAACAACATAACAGAGGAAATACTGAAAGAATAACTTAACGTTTTTTTTTCCATTTGCATTATCACCATTATCAATAATCAATAGTTTTTGAAATTAAAAAAATAAATCAAAGTACTACAACTGCTATATTACTAAATATTGAGTACTATAGTATCCATTAGCCAATTGTTTATTAATCAATTCTCGAAAAGTTATACTAAACTAATCTCTCGAACTGTCCTCCAAGCACTGAAAATTATTATAGTGTTGTAAAAATAGGATGTAGAACTGGAAAATATATTGATTAGTTATAGTACCAGGTACTTATTTAAGAACCTAATAAACATGTTATGAAAATATTTCATTTTGATATTTTTGGAATAAAAAAATACAACAAATACATGGTTTTTTATTGATGTTGAAACAAAATTTGTTTAGTTAAATGCGAACGTATTCAAAATTTCGGTTGACTTTTATTTTTTAATAATTAGTTAAATAATTTGTAAAAGGTGATTATTTATAGGGGATAGAGATAAAATATATACATTTAAAATGGTAAATAAACTGTTTATATTTATTTGAGACATAGTTTTTATTGTTAAATTATTAATTGGATTCCCTAATAGCTTTGGTACTTCATAAATTCTTGAGATAAATATTTTTTCAGTTATTTTACATATTTTTATAACATCAAATGGTGGTTTCTTAAGTCCTCCTCTATTTTTAATATCAATAAGCGTGTGTTTTCTATACTGATCTTTAAGAACTGAACAACAAATCGAACAGTCAATAATTTCATTTAACTGTTTTACAACAAATCCAGCTATATGTTCAATAATATCTTCTTTATAAACATTAATTTCTTCAGGTTTGTTGTTTTGTTCAGGCTCATCTGTAAAACTTTCTTTTTCTTCCATACAAAGAATATTTAAAAAATTTTGACCTAGAATTTCTTTACTACTTACAGCATGAAGAATATTGATAGTATCTTGAGGTCCACAATTAGCATTTTTTGAAATTGACAACTCACTATGAACCAATAGTTTTTTTAAGGTAGCTTCAAACTGGGAAGCGGTAGGATTATTGATGAAGCACTCACTTGATCTGATAGCTGAGAACAGTATCTCCATATGATCTTGTGAAATCTTGTAAGAAAGTATAAAACTAAGCTGTCCAGTATTAATTACATTGTCAAAAAATCTACTCATACTTTCTAGACAGATAATAAGACCATTAAACCCTATTTTTCTAGATGTTAATATAGGAGAATAATTTCGGTCTTTTAAAGTTGTTAGATAATTTATAGAAGAAGGTTGGAACAAGTGAATAAAAGATTATGACACGATAGGGAAGAAGGACACGAATTGTATGTGTCAACTGAAAGCGAATCTTTTAAAGTGGTATCCAGAAGTAACAATAAACACTTTAATCTCCTACAGCCAAAAGCTAAAAAACAGTAAAACAGATGAATGGAAAAAGAGAAGGGATGATGGTTGGAACAAGTGAATAAAAGGTTATGACCCGATAAGGAAAAGGGACACGAATTGTATACCTCAACTGAAAGCGATTCAATTAAAGCCGTGGCTAGATCCAGAACTCGTACGAGAATTGCCAATAAAGTTGTTATAATAAAATCGTTATCGTTGCAACAAGCGAAAGAATTGACCGAAATACTGACCAAAGTGTCAGATGCGAAAAAAAAATGATGGCACAAAAACCTTATGTTCCTAAAAGAGAACCTCGGCTTCTGGGAATGTATATACCTAGTAGCCATGAATCTTCCGTTAAAGTATCAGTCAAAGTGCGGTTGTAAAAGTAAAAGTGTGAAAAAGTTGTAATAATTGAATAATAAAATAGTTGTATTATTTATTAACCCTTTCAGGCCTATATTATTTTGGTTAGAATTTTTTTTTTTAATTATATGCTTTATTATCGTCTAATTAAGGTTTTTTATGAGTTTCATAATTTCACAGTGAAGTAATTATCTGATATAAGTTTTTTTTCATCTTTAAGACGGTTTATTATATCGTCTAAAGTATTTAATTTTTTTTTCAAGTTCACGGTTTGTTTATGCAAGTACTTGATTCATTTACTTTGTTTCATCACAGTTGATTGTGAAACAACCCAATATTTTAGTCTGCTATTAGGGCTATCAATATCACTAGCGTCTTTAAAATCACCCATAAAACATTATAATTTTTTTATTTTTTCTATAACAATGAAATAAACAAAAATTAGAATCATATACATAGTAATTACTAAATTTCATAGTTTTAGTAGGTATAACTTACTTATCTGAGCTTGATTGTTTTTATGAAGTTGCTGTATTCTGTGCACCAAGATTAGATGTAACTATATTTAAAAGTGACTCAAAAGGGCCTGCAAGTTTAGTAGGAATTACATTTTGTGCCATGATTTGTTCTGAAAATATTATCAAATCATAGTAATTAAATTGTGTTATAAGATATTATTTTCTATTTTTCTATTATACCTGACACAGAAGGCTATGTCAATGTTGCAATTTCTTCCTCGGCATAACCATCAGAAATAGTATACCTACTAGATAATAATGATCTACGTGTATCAAACAAAATGTATTTAATTTTTAATAGATATTATACAATAATTGTATAAGTATACTTAGAACTATTATTTAAAACTTACTTTGTTTGGAAATACTGGGTACTACATTTTCATTCAAACGATTAGTTTTTTAAATAATAGTAGATGAAACTTTATAATAAATAAAAACAAAATGAAGCTCACATACTTTTTCAAGAAATGTAATCCATTCATTGCCAATAACTCCTTTAGGAACACTAAAAAAATTGTATGAAGCCATGTTTAAACATTTAATTAACAATTTATTAAATAAAATCCGCCATGAGTGGCATCAGGTATAAAAATTCCCGGAAATATTGTATAAATAACTTATTAAAATTAAATTACATTATTTAGTGAAACAATTTTATTATTAAAATATTATAAAGAACATCAATATATAATTTTTGTAGGTATATCAATAATGAATATATTAGTACGTATAGGTATTATTAAAAATGAGACATTAGTATATGGTCAAAAAGACTTTACCACACTTATTACAAATTATAATGGTAAGATTCATGACGGCTTAAATTTTACTTAAAAGTACTTACCTTTGAAACTTAATATTTTGACCACCTTTTGAGTCACAGCCTTTGACACAACAATATGTAACCATCGCGCAAGATGTTTAACAACTAGAAACCAAATTTACACAAAAATCACTTAAGTGGTTAAACACTAGTAGCTTAAGTTCAAGTTCTAAACACTCAAGTCGGCGAACGAAAATCAATTTTTATATTATATGCAAGTTCTGATTAGTCTTATTAATAACTAATTACTTTATTACATTTATTCACAGATATCAATTCTATACTATAAGATTAAAACGGGCTTCAATTTATTCATGTAAAATGTAAAAATGTTCACTATCTTGTATAGTATAGATATACATTTATTAAAGAAAAAGCCAGAATCCGCAGGGGGGCCGCGGCCCATTCGGCCACCCCCGTGCGCACGCCTATGATAATGAGTATTGGTTATATGGTAAGTAGGTATAGGATAACCAAGAATTAAATTAAAATAGTTTATTATTAATAACTATAAGAAATTATACGTAGGTGCCGTTACCTTCACATAATCTATAATTTATTTAAAAAAGAACTTAACAAAAACAAATAATTTTTTGAAAGACTATTTGGAACTCAGATATTAATCTTATCGTGAATATAAAAGTAACATTGTTAAATAACAATAGTTTAGATAACAGTTGGGTATAGATATTTTATAATATTTAAATTATGAAATTCCCCAGCCTCGCTTATTGTCATATTTTTCTAGGAAATAAACAAGCAACTTGTATGCTATCGAAATTTACTATTGACTAATAAAAACTATTTAAACTTATTTTTATCTATTAATGTGTAATATTATTGTATTGATTCGGATAATCGACTTAGTTCATCTCTCTGTAACATTTTACACAGATGAATTAATCGTTAATTAATAAATATAAGACCGTACCCATTGTGAGACGTATAAATAATGTTAATCAATACGATTGGAATTTTTTAAACATGCGATAAACGTAGTCGGGGGGTAAATAATAACGCGTTGTTTAAGTCATATCATGTTTTAATTTTAAACAGCCGACGTTCATATAATTTATATAAAAATCAGTTTTCTACCAATTATGTTATTTCAAATTTTTTAACAAACATTTCAACTATAGAAATTCCTTCATACCGTACACGAAGCACAATTATTGCAATAGAATTATCATAGAAAGTAATACCTAGTAGTAACGTTAAATCCTTGATTGATAAATGTTCACAAGTTCAATCAAATATATAATTAATAACTTAACAAAATATGTGCCTATTTTAGCGTACAATAATATTTTTGGTAATATTTATTATACTGTATTAAGTTATATATTTCATAACAGGTAATGTTATTTGCAGGTTTTCAACCTACAAAATATTATTTACGTCCATATAAATCCTGATTTTGTTATTCTACGAGTCCGAAATTTGGATGTTAATACGATTTTATTCAATTGGTAAAAAAAAAACACACTCTCACATAATACGATATAATAAAGTAAAATATCTTATTCAATTTTCAGTGGAAAACGTTTCTCTGGCACCCGTAGAGAAGTCGATTTTTCTGTAGGGAACTCGTTGGTACAAATTCTGAAATGAGTGGTACAAATTGGTACAAATTATGGTACAATTAATAGCACAAAAAAATTATAGATTTTTCAACATTGTGGTGCCAGGGAAACGTACCTACTTTCGAGCGAGTTATGAAGTGGTTATATCGCATATGGTTACTACACTAATACATCACTACGCGTGTAAACTAGTGAACGCAAATTTGCCATGATTTATGTATGTCAGACGAAGACAACACATGCAAGTATAATGTCCTTATAAGGACTGACTCTGAATTTAGTTTTTATTTGTTTGTATTAGAAAAACGACGTTGGTGTTTTTTTCCCCGATTCTAGTATTGATCATTTTACCTAATTAATTAAATTAATAAATAAATAAATAAAGTCAATACTTTTTATTAAAAATTTAACTTTTATATTTGTATTTACAATTCATGTTCAAGTTAATTACAGCTGTGTATACTTGGTTCATATTGAAAACGCCAATGTCATACAGAATAATGCGATGAAAGTTTTTAGCGTGCTTAATGTATGTATGATAAAGTAATATCGGATAATTTTATTAGAAGATACATTTTTTGAATCTCACAGATTAATTTACTAATTGTAATTATAAAAAAATAGTCAAATTCGTAATTAACTTTAATGTTCACAATTTATTTGCACCACGTTTTAGCTACGCGACTTATTATACATATATATCGTTGTTTAATGTTCGCTGAAATAATTTATTAAAAAATAATATTATCTAATAGAAAATAATGAGATAGTTAACATATATTTATCTACTTATTTATTATTTAATACTGCATGAATGAAAAAATATTTATTTATTAATTTTTCGAATAACCGGTGATTTATACTTTGGCTATAATAATTATTAATTTACGGTCTTAGATTTTTATAAATTATACATTGAATCGTAACGATATAATAATTCAACAATACATCAACCGATTTTATAATAATATCAACGGAACCACGGAATCGAGGCTGTAGCAAAATATTCAAAAGAAGTAAGTGGAATGAAATACTCATAGATATGATATTTTTATAACTTTAGAATTAATTTTGGATGCCGACATAATATAGTCATCTGGGTAATGATGGCTGATTCGTATACTCGCGTCATCAATCTATTTAGACTAAATAAATACAAGTATCTGATTTCCTAATCGTATTAAAATATAACTTATTTTTAAAATTGAATATGTATAATTTTTTTATTCAGATTTATTAATTTATATCAATAAAAATGTATGTTGGTAAATCTGAGATTAAAAAGGTTTTTTCGTGATTAGATTTTCGCGCATTGTAGACTTATGAACGGAAGAAGAATAAACATATTTCTAGTAATCCAATTTTAATTTTGAAATTAATTATATTTCAGTAGCCTGCTTTTTGTGTTTTGTATGAATTACTATTTTATTTTTATTACTTCTTTAAAGAACAAATTAATTTTAAGAAATAGAGTATGTTTATGTATAAACATATAAATAACTTAGAACTTATAGGTTTATAAAGTACCACAAAATGTTGGTAGTTATGTAGTTAGGTCATTTTACCACCGCAAATATTGAAAATCAATTTTTTATAAAAAATGATAAGAGAATAAAGAATTCAGATATTTTTTTAAAATTAGAATTGAATGATCAATTTTAAGTGCATTATTGTTCCACTTTTGGTATTATTCATTGTCGCATTGAAAATAATTTTTTTTTTCTGGTCACAATTAATGGCATGCGAGTACGTACAATAGAATATTCCCAAGAATCATTGTAGCATTAAAAAAAAAGAGTTCAATGCACAGATCAATTTTATTCTGTTATTCGATGCCGGCCGGACCAAAAGCAATTATTATTCACGAATATATTTATTTTTTTGTTTTCATTTTCGTAATATTGATGTCAAAATACAGGATCTTCTTTTGATTATAGGCATATGAACTTTATGCTTAGTACATCCATTTTTTTAAATTATAATTAGGTATAGTTCGTTTTATTAAAACTCTTGGGTATTTATTTTATACTTTTATAGACAAAAATAATTTTTTAATTTTCAGATTCTGAATATAAAATAAAAGTATTCAGCCCTAAAATGCAAAAAGTGAGAAAAATATAGACAAATAGTTTTTAATTTTTATTGTACTCACGTAGTCGTATTTTAGGATATAAAATCAGAGAAAGAAAATTGGGCTTTGTATAGAAAAATCATAAATACTCCAGCCAAAGAGCTCAGATCAAATGTGAAAGCGTGGAAAGATGAACACGAAGAAAAAAAGCGGAAGACTCTGGAGGAAAACAAGCAGGAAGAGTCAATGTCAAAAGTAGCTATCAAAAAATGGCATAACTATTTGGAAAACCTTATGGACGAACAATTATCCCCCTCTGCCGACATGATGGTAGATATATTCTATGGGGAAACACATACAAAATCTTTACAAAATAACATTGTAATCCATCCTAAATATTTCTCAAAATAAAAAGAAAAAGAAGATGATACATAAGAGAAGTAAAAAAAAAACTTACAAAATGCATAATTTTTAAATTAATTAATTTGAATATTCAATGGATACATTTTTGAAATTTACTAAAAATCTTAGAACCTCCTCCTCTAGTTTTAACTTATCGGCATAATGGTCGCCAAGAAACGATAAGAAGTGAATTAGTGTGAAATCAGTAAGAATTACTAAAAATATGAGAAAATGACCTAAAAATGTAAAAAAAAAAAAAAAAATAATAATGACCTAAACAGTAATAAACACCAAAAAATACAAAATAAAAATTAGTTATTCAAATTCACATGCTAATGAAACACATTTGTGACCAGGACAGCATCGTCTATAACGTACAGGAAAAAAAAATGCAAAATGTATCAACTTTCGAGTCCTAGTAATAACAATGGTATTAGGTCAAGTACTGTTGTAGTATAGAATATGCAAAAACACCGTGGGACATGATTGTAACCGGTAGTATTTTGTTGACAACAAAATAGGATAGATGGCGCTAGTAATTGGGTGGAAACATGTTTTCTGCACCGTATGTAAAACGTACGTAGCCGTTTTAACGACATTTTGTTCGCGAAATCGTTACTCATGTGTTGATTAATTTTGAGCTAATTTC